TCCTGCTGATTGCATCATGTGTCCTTTAAAGTTGTCATAGCAGATATTAACTGTCAACTGAGTGTATTTATTTCACAGGTCAGAGAGCTGTATGGGATTTTTGCTTCACATTATTTGGAAACCATATTCTTTTCGGTGTGCAGGTGTTCGGGAGTTTTTTTTAATGCTCTTTACAGAGCCTTAGCAAACAATGTCTTTAATTTTCAGGGTTTACAGCCCCTACCCCCGCACACGTTCCCTGCACTTGTAAATCTGTCCATATGGCCCATATGGACTGTCTCCTTTGTCTTCTCACATTGTTTGACGCTTGCCATCTGCTCCGTGCTATTATTATAGGCGGCTTTAGATTTAAAGTAGCACCATTTCCGATGGTCCCTTTCGCTCAGAATAACTTCTTAGACATTATTCGGCATGCATTTTTTCTAAAGTTGAATAGAGGTTCTTCCGGTGTTAGTTTTTATTTTTCCAATGTATTCCTATAGATCACGGAGTATGGTTGCCTAGTGACGTCATCGCCCCAGTAAGTAAGAGTCCCACTCTTTTGGAGCAGGCTGTGGAAAGAAATCGCACAGGATGCTTTTCACCCACGGTCCAGACTGTTACAGACATCACTCAAATTTTATGTCCGCGACACTCGGCCAAATGTGAAAGTGCGTACCGGACGATGTTTCGAAAAGCGACGGTGTTTAAGAGAGCCGACGATGAAAACGTGGACTCCGGAGACGAAACTGCCGAGTGAGTCAGTTGTTGTCTCAGCATTAGCTCTGTGCTAACGTTAGCTAGCCATACTTCGCTTTTCAGTCCCAGTCATTGAAATTAACTTAAACCCGAAACAGTAAATTGCGAAGCTGCTGACATTTTCAAACCAGCAGCTTAACCGTTGTTTTAACTTTATAGCAGTGTAGTGCATGTTTATGGAACTGCTATAGGCATACTCTTTATATAGTATTTACTCATAAATTGGCGTTTTACGCTTATGTTAGCCAACAAGTTAATGTGTTGTCATGGTGACCGAAGAAAAGGGGGCAGCTTTCCAAACCAACCGCCACAAGATGGAGACAGATTTTTTTTCTGTGGTCCAATTAGCCTAAACTCAAAACCGCCTGTGAAGTCAGGACTCATGTGCTTCTTATTTTGTGTCTTATTCAGATCTGACTGCAGCAGGATGTCATCATCTGGCAGTGAGTATTTCTTTACTCATGCAGAAGCTGAAAGGACATTTCAGAAATGTAGTTGTAGCTTTCATAAAGTTGGCGAACTAACGAGACAGAGAATGGTCAAAACTGATTAAACACAGGCCAAGATAGCGTGATTTTTTATTTTATTTATTTATTATTATTCTACATGTCCGTTAATGCAGTTTGATAGTTATGAAACCCTTGCTGCTTTGTAAATGTCAGGGTCTTTTAAACTCCATGCAACGAATGTGTGATAGTTTGTGTGTCAATACTCACACTTTGCCAGTAGTCAGGTGCCTACTTGTGTGATGCCTTGCTGGTAAATGCCACACAGGACTACAAACCAGTGAAGTTTATCAAGGCACACTATGCATACACGCTTGGGTAATTGAGGATGAGATCTTTGATATTATTCTTATCACTCCCATCAATAAAAAAAACAAATATTACATTAAAAAAAAAAAAAAAAAAAAGTAATCTAAAACAACATTTTTATAACCATCTGTGGACATTGTGTATAATTTGATAACAGGGTTTGTCTTAAGTCATAAAGATCCTGCTCAACAAAATTACACTCCCAACCACAAAAGTATGTGATGTCACTTGTAACTTTTACGAACTGTAAAGGTTAAACAAAGGTGAACTCTAAGTCCAGTGGAATCAGCTGGAGATCACACTAAAACAAAGTACATTATTAAATTTGCCTATTGTAATGTTACCTTACCATTTCAGAGTCCAAGAACGCATACAGCTGTTATCATATGAGTCGTACTCCCCATGACACAGAAAATAGTGGAGTACCTCTAACTAGACATTTACTGAGCCTTCCGAATTAAAAAAAAAAAAAAAAAAAAGTAATCTTTTTAAGCATATTTGCTGAGCCTTCTCCTAAAACATGTTTGCAATTGTGTAAAATATCCTTTTACATATTCATGCATTTTGTGTGTGTGTGTGTGTGTGTGTGTGAGTGACCCCAGCTGAGCTAATGAGCAGGCGGGCTGAGCAGCAGCGGCAGCAGCAGCTCCTGCTAATGAACCTACATCTGCTGGCCAACCCTGGAGGCTCCCTACTGCTGCCACACCCCCTAGACCCTGGAGACTCCCTACTGCTGCAACACACCCTAGATCGCCTCCTGCGCTGGCTCTGCCCGAGCCTGCGCATCTTCCATGTGTCAGAGCGGGCCTCCCCATTCAGCCTCTGTCCCATGCCAGGTAAGTGTCCTGGGTTTCTAATGTATAGGGCTGGGTATCATTCCAAAATTTCCGATACCGATAGCTTGACTTCAGTACCAGTTCCTAAACAATACTTTTTCTGGTGCCAATTTTATAAAATCAATTATAATAAAAAAAATGCATTAATTACATATTTTGGTACATATCCTTAGTTTTATTTTTCAGTTCCTTGGCATTTTTGTGCACTCAAAGCAGTTTCATAACCAAAAAGTAAAGCTATTTACCACAGCCTTAAGTTCAGTTAACCTTAACATCAATGTTAAATGTATAAAAGCATTTTTTGATGCTTGATGGTATATTGGTAAGTAATTCAATCAATCCCATAAAAGCATCAGTCCCAGCACGATTAGTGTTTAACCCTGGATTTTATTACCCACTGTGGAATTCATACACTCACATCTCTTTGACTTGGATGCAGAACCTTGGTGTGTCCATACATTCAACCTCCTAGCACTCTCTGGAGGTGTTTTTTTTCCCCCCTGTACAAGAAAATAATGGCTTCCATCTGTTAAAGCAATAACCCCCTCAAATGTTGTACTCTTGTGTAAACATGCCATTCTGCAGCAAGTCACCCCTGCCAGAACTGCATCTGTTTTTTAAGGTTGATTGAGAATAAACCTTTGCCAAAAATTTTCAGGCTACCCTTCTCTGGCCATCACTTTCTTCCTCCATGAGGCCTATGGAGAGGAACGAATCCTCAAAGTGCTGGACTTCTTTCAAAGGCCTCCTTGGCAATACCATCACACTGAGAACTGCAGCAACCGGACTGGTGGGATCCACATTACCTCTAGCAGCCCCAGTGCCAACACCCTGCTGTGGCCCTACCTCTTGCCCAGCAGAGACTTCTATAGTTTGGGTGCAGGGATGCCTGTGTGGGGGGTTCGGCCGGTGCACTGTGGAGGAGAAATCCTACGTGTGACCCTGTACAGTGGCTATGACAACTATGAGGATGCTGTGCGGCTCTATGAGACGGTGCTGCAGCGACAGGTGGAGGAACAGAAGACGGGTTTCTGCTGGTTCACCCTCCACACAGGTATGTCTTTGTCTTTAAGTGTTTTCTGTTGCTTATGTACTTCACAGTAAAAAAAAAATGGACTGTTCATCTTAGACTGTCCAGCCTTACAGTGTCTGTTAGCTTCTTTTTTATCAAAACAGGCACTAAAGTAACAGTCATTTGTTTGCAGCATTCATCAACTTTACAGAATAATTATCTCAACACCAAGAAGTGATCTGCAGTATTTTAAAATATCAGTTGAATTGTATCTTAAGTTTTCGAAACTAATGAAACAGAACTGAGTCAAATTGTCACACCACTAGCTGTGTTTAAAAAAAAAAAAACATGAGTAGATTCCTGAGACTAAAAAACTTTTCAAAATGTTTCATTCCCTCCCATTTTGTTCTGCAGAGCCAGGGTTGTGCCTGCAGCTGGCTTTGAAGCAGCTATCACCAGGTGTTCGGGTGGAGCCATGCAGCTGTGCCGTGCTGCAGTTTAGTGTGGAAGAAATCGGCCAGCTGGTTCCACTGCTGCCCAACCCTTGCACACCTATCAGCACCACACGTTGGCAGACGGAAGACCTGGATGGCAACAAGGTTCTCTTCCAGGTAGAGGCATCTTAATATGTATGTGTAATGACTTGCGTTGTGTTTTATAAGTCTTATTTTGTCCCACTCTTTGTTTAATATGAGATCATGGAAGAAAGGTTTCTCATAGATTTATATCAGGTTTAAATCAGGAGGCTTGTCATACATAGGTGGCAGCCCCACATCAACTATAAACACACAGAACTTTGCTCAGAGATGTGAGATCTGTAATTGTCTCACAGAGTCTAAAGAGCACCTTTGTTCAGTGTCCTGCTAAAATGTGATTTGCACAAGAGGGAATGTACACAGCATGAAGGGAAAACAGCAGTTGTCACAAAAAGAGACAATTTCAGAAAGAAAAAGGTTAATGTACTGTATACAAAATATTTTATATGAAATCGTAATTTGCATGTCATGCAAATCCCATTTTAATTTAAATATTTGCACTGGTACAGATGCAAATCTATGCCTGTATCTGAATGTAGTAAATGAACCATACAGTACCAAATGCTTCAGTGTAAACACAAATGTATTTGTCATGGTGAAAAGTTGCACATCATCTGAAGCATATAGAAATAATAGCTTACTGTTTATTTTTTTTGTAGAGAAATTAAATTGTGAACAAATTCAGGTACATTAGAGGACTTGAGATTTATTCAGATTGAGATTGAGATTGTCCAAATACAAGTTGGGGTTGGGAACCTCGTGACACGAGTTGCCACTGTTAAGTATCATTTTCCTTGTGTCCCAAATTTTAGTGATTGTGCCAGTGTGACATCTGAGATTTATCATCATTGTGATTATTTTAATAAAAACTGTTGAACCTGTTCACATTACAGAGCAATCAGCGCTGATTCTCTTTGGTGTCAAATCAAGCTTTCAGCTCATAAGATCATGTATTCAAGTCTGTCCAGATACAGAAGGGGAAACATCTGCCATGTCATTCTTCCTATGAAATGAACAGACTTTTTCAGAATAAGCTCAAAGCTGCCAGAATAGCCATACATTAGATTTGTGTATAATGATTCAGTTAAAGCTGCTTATTTCTCTCTTATCTGGGTATAAATTATAATGCCTCTTCTGTCCTGTGCTCAAGGTGAAAACCCCAGCTCAGCCTCCGCAAGCTCTGACCTGCGCTTTCCCCCTGAGCTGCCCCAGCCTAACCCTTCGTGTGATGCAGCCCCGGAGCTTGGGACAGAGCTGCAGCCTCCCTGCGCCCCTGTCCTGGCAAACACACAGGCAAGGTCAGTACGGAAGGGAAACGCTGTTTATAGGGTTGGGGCGCTCTACTCAGCTGTATCTGTAGGGTATTAAACCTATTGCTGCTTCAATTAGTGGGTGCTGACCAGTCACCATTTGATTGTCAGGAGCTGTGAATGACTAGAGCACTGAGCCATCTCCTAAACACCACAGAGCAAAATGCTGATTTGGCAAAACTCCCACAGCACACAGTCACTGTATTAAATGTATATGTAGGAGGCTAATGTATGCAAGACTTGTCATAATGGCCCAAAATGAATCAGACTGTTTTCTTCTGCAGCAAGTTAACCCTTTCCTACTGAAGATTCCATTTTATGTCCCAAAATCTCCTCACAGCAGTTGTGAAGTCACCCTCTAAATGTGAGAATGACATTTCTTATACATACTGTATGTTATGTCCAAGGAGATCAGTGGTATTAAATATATCAAACAAATGGCGATCTCAGACCTCATGGTTGGGGAAAAGGTTTCTCAACTACAGTCACCTTTGACTCAGAGCACACAGATTAGTTTTCATTTACATTTGAATATATTTCATTATGAGATTATTTTTAATTTTTTATTTTTGATGTGAGGTCACAGACTGCAGAGTGACCCTGTCCAGGAGAAGGTTCCAGGTGGAGGTGGCAGAGCAGAGATCTTTGGAGCAGGAAGCTGCTGTAGCACACCTCCTGGCAGCTCCTGTTACTCCTCCCAGGGCAGCAGCCCTGCACCACCCTCGACTTCCAATCACCCTGACTCTCCTCTGCGCCCCTCCATCACCCGTTCTCTCTCTCATCTCCTCCTGGAGGAGGACAAGGAGAAGCTAGAGACCAACGTAGACACAGGAGTCCTGGTCTCACCTCGCACTGACGCAGCAGTCGACACAATGACTCGCTCTTCCTCCTCAGACCTTTTGATGAATCTCAGCTCAGAGAGACACGCAGCTGTTGATGGTCCAGCCAAGGAGATGAGTAAACGCCTTTCACAGACACACAAACACTCTCTAGACTCCTCCACCACATGGGGCTCTACTGGTTGTACACATGCAGCCAAGGAGGACCGTGGCAGCTGGACCATGGCAGCAGGACAAAGCCTTTCCAAAGAACCCATGGTAGAGAACAGGACTAGTGCTGAGATGCTGTCAGCACACACAGATAAAGGGGAGCCTATCGATGAGTTCTTCATCTGAATTCTTGCCACCACGCTACATGCTGTGATAATCACAGTGCAATTAAGAACATATTGCACAAAGGACACAGTGACCACTTGAAGATGAGAAACCCTTTAATGAGGATCAGCTGTGTGGTCTGACAGAGAAGCACAGAGGAAACCACCTTCCACTCAGAGGTGATATGGTGTCTAAAATCTGACTTGTCCTGTAAATTTCCACAACAGACATTAACAGAATAACCATACAACTCCTACTGTAACACCTGCCAAGAGAGTGGTACAAGGTAAGTGATGTTTTAAGACAGTTGTGGGGTGGCTGGAAGCAGGTCGTCCCATAACTCTACGGTTGGCGGCTTGATTCCCAGCTTCTCCAGTCCACATATCTTAATGTCCTTGGCCAAAACCTTGAACCCCAAGTTCCTCCCCGAGGCCATCAGTTGATGTGTGAATGAATGGGCAGCACTATGAGAGGGTAGAAAAGCACTATACAAGTACAAGTCAATTTACAGTGCAAATAGTAATTATTGTTAACCATTCTATTTCTTTATCATAGTTGGATCCAAATGAGTTGTGCAGCTTTCGTGCTAACTTATAGCCTCGCAAATAGCAAACGCAAAGGAAATGCTCTCTATGCTACTGTCGGTATTAATGCCAGTCTAGGTTTCTGCTGCATTACCCCACGGGGCAAGCTGATGTCTTTTAGATTGATGATGTCAGTGTTGATCTTGATAAGAAAGCTGATTTAATCTACTCTCCACAATGCAACACTGTCAGCCTGAAACCAGGTTTTGCATAGTAAAGGTATGATCACAATTATTTAAATGCACTTCAAATGATCATTGCTGTAGTACATGTGAAGTAAAGATGGCCAAATTACTGCATTGTAGAGAATTGAAATGTTCAATTTGTTTCCTTAAGCTAGAATTAAATAACTAAAAAAAAAATTGGACCTTTAAAAAAATCATGGAAAATAGTTTATTATTATAATTATTTGTATGTATGGTGTCCAAAACTGCCCAAATGTAACCTAAGCCTGAAACTTTATACTTGAGTTTTCACTGTGTTTGTCCCTTAGCTTATTGCAATTAACTTAATCATGTATTGAACTGATGGCTTCAAACAGATGATGCACAGAGCTCACATAGTGATTATAGCTGTTTAGTATAGAAGCACATTGCATTCAACACAAAATCTCTTAATTATGAGATCTCTTCTTGTAATTGAGGTAATGCAGGGGTTGGAACGCTGCAGAACTTACGTGAAAATCATCGTTTTAACAAATTTATTAGCATCAGTAATTTGACAGTTGCCAATATCTCCAGTAGTAGTGCACAGCAAAAGTGAACTGTTAAGTGTTCCAAAACATAAACAAATATAGGCTAAAACAGGACTCCAAGTTGCTGTCTGCTGTGTATTTCAGTATATACATGTACTGAGCAGGCCTTGGAAAGCTTCAGACCCTGCTTGAGAAATATTGGGTGTAAAATTTCTCCAGTATTTATGGAATTCTCGCAGCATATCGTGCTTGGCAAAATTTACTGCAGATTGCTAATTCAGCATACTTGAATGTTTAAAAATGTAAACAAATAAGCTAAAAAGAGCACCCAAGCTGCCGCCCACAGTAAGTCATTACATTTAGATCTAAGGCAACATGATACTCTTTGTTGTAATAGTATCTGTCCACATGATTGAACTTTTACGATTCAATGTGACATTTTCCAAAATACTATGTTAAAAAAAACAAACTTTCATTCTATAGCTAACCTATTTGTCTTCTTAAACGACAACCATAATGTATCCTAGCCTATTACAAATCCTGACAGTTATAAGAAAACAAATGTTAATAGTTTTTGCTCAGGCAAACATAACTTTGACAAGAAAAAAGTATGGGCTGTGCAATGTTGCTATGGATACAGTGTCTGGGTTGCAATTGGGAGCTGGTTTTAGTCTAGACTATGTTTGTTTACATTTTGGAACAACAAGTATGCCCAATTAGATAATAGCAGTTAATTCTGGTATGTAGGATGTTCCGTTAGAATTACATAAATATTGCAGAAATCTTTAAACCCACTCAAGCAGCTTCTGAAGCTTTCCATCTCCTGCTCAGTGCATGTATATAGTGAGATACTGTCAACAGCAACTTGGAGTCCTGCTTTCAGCCTGTATTTGTTTGTTTTCGAACACTAAATATGCCAAATTAGCTACTTTATTTTTACTGTGCAATACTGGATGTACTGACAACTATCACTGAATTACTTGGATACCAAGATATTAAGACTTGATTTTCAGTCATATGTAGGATTCCAACCCCTGTATTCTCAGCTTAAAAAAAAAAACAATTCATAATTGTGAGATAATAAAGTCATCACAACAAGGCTTTAAACTTTTTCTTCTTTGGTGAATGCAATGCGCTTCTGTAGTTTAGGGTCAAGTCTGATTAAATACTGTCAAACAATATACATTTCATGACCAAACTTAATAACTCGGATCACACTAGTCCACATCTTTTCTTATTAAGAAACTTTCAGCTGTGGCCAAGGAGCTTCCAGTTTTAACCTACATCCAAAAAAAATTTGGCTTTAAGAGAGAAGTTGCTTGCTGGTCAACAGGACACCGTGGCTGTGCAGGGCAGCTCAAAGATGGGAATGTGTTTACTGTTAATGGGTGTTACTTGAGGAAAGCAAGTGTGCTTAGTGAGGCAGCATCGACTCTGTGGCTCTTTGTCTAAAGTGTTCAGCCATGCAGAGAAATGTCTTAAAGCTTAGTATTAAAACCAGCAGTACAACATGGCTCCTTGTTGTCACATAATTAAGGCTAATGGTATATTCAAATGTTTCTACCGAATAAAATTTTATGGTTCAATGTATCGCATTGTCTGAAGTTTCTACCACTGTGTCAGACACTTTGCCAGACTTTACTGCACTCCTGAACAAAGTGACAACGTGTTTGGGCCTTCTACAGAGGGAACACACACTCACCAAAGTAACACTGCCCAGGCACTTTATCACGCCTATACAGTTGTATGCAATCCAGTGCAACACTTCCACCTTAACGCCTGTGTTTTTGGTGAACTTGCCCTAAATGTATAAATTCAATTGTGTTCATTTTTGAGATCATAGTTAAAGGTGGTGTACTGGACTACATTATTCAGAGGTGTTCCTAATATTCTGACCCTCTCATGTATATAGCTGAGGAGTCACATGTAGTCCAGGTACAACACCACCTTTAACTATGATCTCAATAACATATAATTGAATTTATACATTTATTACAATTTCGCCAAAAACAAGGAGGAAGTGTTGCATTGGATTATGTACAATCACACAGGTGTATCGAATAAAGTGGCTGGTGAGTGTATATTAGTGACATTTCAGAAGAAGATGAAAGCACATACCTTTCTTGTTCCTCTGTCACAGTGCAAATACTACGAGAGGAAAGAAAGAAGATGGTTTGAAATCAGTTCCAACTGCAGTGCAACACTGTCTCCAGCTGAAGTTCTTGGTCTGCTCACCTAGGAGTGCACAGTCTTACAATTATCTAAACCATATTAAGACTATAATTGCACATATTATTCTGCAGTATAAATGCTTGATGCACTTCAGAATGTATACTTCAAAAAGGCTCGTATTTTTGGAGCCACGCTCTTTTTGCAACACAATGTGCTTAAGATAAAGTTAGAGCACCTCTATTCCAGTCAACAAATTGCACTAAATCTTACAGCTCCCTCTGCTGGTCAAAGGATGTTGTTGCTCTCTGGAGAATTGCTGCAGCCAGTCCAGCTCAGATCCTTGGCCCACTGGCCTTCTCTGGTGACTCGCACTTTGACTGGGTCAAATCTCCAGAACCGCTGTTCTCTGAACAGGTAGAGGCGTCCATCTGGACGAGACAGCGCCCCGTTGGTCCCCTGTGGCACCCCAGTCCAGTCTGCCAGCCTGCGGGGGTAGTAGGGCTCTTGGCGCAGAGTTTTGAGATTAAGCACAGAGTAGCGGGAACCCTTGAAGAGGACCATGTGACCCAGTGGGGGATAATAGAAAGCCGAGTCAGGGTGGTGAGGCAGCCCCAAATTACTGCTCTTCATGGGGAAACCTTGGTCCAGCACACTGCCGGTGTAGCGCCACATCCGTTTCCCTGCATACACAAGATGAGGAAGATGTACAAAAAGCAAAAATAGAAGGTTGTCACATATTATACAGTTCAACATTGTCACTGAAGCCTTCATTTGCAGTTCACCATCACATCATACTTAATCATAATAGCTTTTCAAATTCATGCAGCACTTCACATAACAGTCACAGCACAAGTTTAGTTTGCCCTTTTAAGATACTTGTACTACAATACAGAAATATAAGATCTCCTCTTTTTAAAGTATAACTCTTATAAAAAACCCTTGCGCAAAAGGCCCCAGATTTAAGTATTTCAGGGTTTGTCTGCAGGAAATGCATCCTGCTACTTAATGAGAGCCAATTTTTAACAGTCTCTCTTAGTTTACACACCACGTACAAAGGTGGAGATGAGAATCCGTATTTTACATAACACAATTTTTCATTTAGCAGATGAATGATTCAGGTTTTTAGCCTTCAGCACAAAGGTTAAACTTCTGGGGCTTCACATAGTGCTTCCCTATTTAAAAGGCACAACACAGTCTATTCTGGGGCTTTGACAGATACGTGAGGTTAGCCAACAGCAGGTCTAGGGCAGGTCTTTAAAAGGAAGCAGGAGTCAGATCAATGAGCTCAAGGAAGCAGTACCTTTAAAAAAATACCACTTGGAGTCCAGCGGGCAGAAGGCAGCAGCTTCAATGGCCGAGGGAAGGTCAGCCCAGCGCCCATGGAGAGCCAGCGGGCCGCTCACACTGCCTTTAGCTGATACTGTCCAGTACACGCTGCCCCGAAACACCAGCACCATCTCCTTCTGGTCTGGAAACACGCACACAGAGAAAAATTACAAAGGTTAACGTGTGTGTGTACCACGACAAAGTTCTGTCTTAACCTTGGAAATAGTAGTTTGTTAGAGCTAATCTTAATTCAAGGTCCACTTAATTCACGGTTTTCCCAGAGCTTTCAAGCACATCTCATGCTCTTCATCAGTAGATTGTCGTGGAGTATGTCTCTAAAAAGTGCGAGATGTGATGAAAGCTTCAGAAAAATAAGGTGAGAAAACACTAAGTTAAGGGATAAAGCTGGTCATTCTCTTTATTAACATTCTTTTCAATCTCCATTCAGAGACTAAAGCCAATAATGATTTTCCTTTACTCGTCGTTAATGTCCATCAGTCCTGGATCAGATTATTCATCTGTGCCTTAGTCCTCCATTGATGTTCAAAAACAATTAAAAACACAGGGATGTTGCCTCAGTATGAAACACCAGACCATCCAGAGATCTTGTGCATGGGCCCTTGGCACTTGTTGACTTCAAATGCTGTAAAAAGTTACGGCTGTTTGGAGCCTTTGGGGAAACTTTAAAAAAATAAACTTATCAGGGTCTGGTGTTTCTCTGTTTTTGAAGCCACAGCAGTAACCACAGTCATGAAGAATGTTCTTTTCAAATAATATTTCTTTTGGACCTCACCCACAGTGATGGCATCAAACATGCCGTGGCAGTAGAGAGGCTGGCCTGTGCTCGTAGGCTCGTTGTGAAGCTCTGTGAACTCCCATTTCTGCAGCGTCGCGTGCAAAACCTGACCTGGCAGCCTCACAGGACGATCACCTGGTGGTTTACCTGGGGGCAAAAGCAGCAATAAAACACTGAAAAGGCACCAGACAAGGCCATGAAAGATGAATCCAAATTACCATCACGTTGGCCAGGTTGTTTTTCCTACAAATAATCTGGTTATACATAAACTACAGCAACCAATCAAATCTTCCAGGACAGGCAGTGTGTTACAGTGCAGTCTTCATTTCTCATGCATGTTTCTAAATTGGACAGCATGGGAACAAATGGAAAGACAAACAGTGGAGATTCTTCCAAAAACACGACTTGGATAATGTTAACATTTAAATTTAACAAGCTGTGGTTGCGCTGATGTACACTGATGGACACCATCCTGCACAGGAAACAAACCTCTGGAGCTTCAGAGCCATCACACACTGGAACCTTACACTGATTGACACTTTAGCAACAAAACTGCATCCTGCTTAGTCAACAGTCTCAAAGTGCAGGCTCTTGGCACGCGAGACCAAAAGAATCAAAACAGAAGCACAACATACTGAAGCATAAGAGTAAATGATGCTTTAGACATGACTACAGCCATTTCGTTTGCAAGGAGCTGAACAAACATTTGTGTAGGTGGAGGATAAAATCAGCAGACCCAAGAACAGGAGGAAGACTGCAGGAAAAGCACATGGACAGCTGCACAGAGGGTATCCATAAGCTGTGGGGGGGCAGTGATGCAAGATAAGGATGCATGTCTGACTTCACTCAAACACAAAACTGCCTTTATGCTCAGTTTACATTCATCAGTAGGGGGAGAGCTTCTTGGACAAGGAAAAGCTCTGTGAGGAGCAAAATTTACTCTCAGCATTAAAAGTACACATACACATTTGAGGTACTTGTATCCAACAATATATATAATTGTTCAAATTAGCTCCATGTTGCCCAACAGTAAAAAGTTACTTACACATAAAAGTATCATTCATAATAATGACTTCATATCAAATGCCAACATCAAAGATGGTTTGCGCACACAACCTGATGTACATCCGCTGCCTAAAGCTCATGTCTTTAAGCAGATGTAGCAATTCCGCAGCGCCAGCAGTCTTGTCAGTTACAGTTCCTGTCCATGTTGTCTCTGGAGCTAATGACTGCCACAGGGGAGGTTGATGAGCATGTTGCGCTTTGATAAATTCCACCTGAGCACAACTAGAGAATCCTGGATGACTTTTATGAGGCCATAAAATTTTATTAGAGAGCAGGTTTGAATTCTTTCTTTAAAGACTGAGAAGCAAAAGTTCCCAGCGTCCTTTCAGTGTAAAAGCCAAACAGATACAGCTCAAAGTCCAACTAACACCCTGCAAACTTGCAAACACTCCTGGAAAAGACTGCATTTTCTCCGGTCCTGTGATGTCACTTCACACCTCACCTCACCTCACGTGCTTCAGTAGAACCTAGTACAAGCACCACACCATCACAGAGCATGGTCAGATGCTTAAGAAGCTAATTTTACAAGATCAGAACCCACGTTCTTGTCCAACTACTACAGTCAAGTCAGTTTATTAGCAGCAGAAAAAACACAAGCAATAAGCGAACCCTGCAGAGCGGTGCATGTGGAAGCCTGCCTCACACATGCCAGGAGGGACAACACTCTCACAGTCAGTAACTTGTGTGATTGGTTCTATAGAATCCAATAACAATTCATTATATTTCACATCTTTAACTACACTGTCCTAAGGCCAGACAGTGAGACATTTGACATCTGCCCACTAAAGTGCTTTTTTATCCTCCAGCTTTACAGATTTTTAACCTGAGGAAAAGTGGGAAACGCCTTCATGTCCAATGAAAGTGGCAACTTTAACACTCCGCCTGACCTCCACACCACACACTTTCTGTTTAACAAGAAGCTTCATTTGGCATTTTGTAAATGTTTGACTCTAGACAAGAAGTTAAAGGAAAACATCATCTCACCATACAGTTGCTGCACTGCGATGATGTCGTCCCAGCTCAGCAACAGGTTGCGGCCCAGTTTCCTGTAGTACGGCGACATCAGGGCGTGCCGGACGGGCGAGTGCTCCAGCCCGAGTGTGTGTCCGATCTCATGAGCGGTCACCATGAACAGGTTGTGTCCTTTGTGCCCATTCAGTGTCCACCTCTCCGCCATGTCGAAGTGGGCTTCCCCACTTCGAGGCAGGAAGGCGTGAGCCAGAGTTCCTCCTGAAGGTCACAGAGTCAGAGATGCACTTACAAGGCGACGGAGTAGCGGCTTGATTCAGAAGCCTGTGTTGCAGGACTGTTAAAAGTAACTGCTCAGTTGATTAGTTGGTTTAGTTCCATTGTTTAGTGTTTGTGTAGCATATGTTTTATTGCCTACAGACAAATTTACCAAGTAAATCAGTTTGTCTATATAATCTGGCGACCGGGGGGTTGTGCCATGGAGGCAGGTTTTTACAAGAAGCTTACTAATGTGGGAAATATCTCCTACACAAAAATGTTTTTCAAACCTTTGTTTTTTTTAACTTCTGAAATACTGTAAAGTATCTTTACATTTTTTTGTTTATTCTGTTTTGGTTTAATTTATTCTATCAAATTATTTTAAATGTGTCTCATACTGCATTATGCGACTTCTATATTTTTTTGTTATGTACAGTGTTGGGGAACTAATGCAACTCGTAGTTTAACTACATTTTATAGTAGCTTGCGAATACATTTATATTTTCATAGTGATTCAAGTAGTTCGATTACCTTTTTTGTGTAGCTAACTACAAACAATTTTGGGCCATAAAAGGAAAAGAAGGATTTTTTTTACTTTACCCTGCTGCATGTGAGCGACTCCTCAGTGCCAAACAGAACTTCATGGATAAGAACTTTGAGAGACTGCTCATGTGTCGTATAAACAAGAGACAAGCCTGTTATTTAGACCAGTGTTCAAGCTGGTCCTAGTGTCTACAAAGGTGCAAATGAAATTTACTTTTCTTTACCGTTTTATTTGTAGTCAGAAAATACAAAATTCAATTTGTTTACAGAATGTAACATTCCTTGTGAAAATTTCAGATGGGATTGTTTTATTTAGGACAGGTTTCAGTGTCAGGTGATAAAATCAACTGAGTGGTATTTTTTTGCTGGCATGTGACTTTTTTCTATTAAACGTACATTATCAATTTCATCTTTATTTTTACCCCAAACTTAGTTTAAACTATTTTCTAGCTTTGCTGTTGTTCAGCATCTTCCAGAGTGAAGCAAACAGTAGCCTGCAAAGCTACGCTTTCAGAGTAGCTTCCACAGCACTGTAGCTGAAACCTGCTATACAAATAAATTTGCCTCACATATTTAAAATTAAAAAGCAATGAGAAGCTTAAAATAACTTTACATAAACTTCACAGGATCCAGACATGCATTCTGTGATGAGGAGCTGCAGTTTGACATCGCTTTCAATTAACAGGCTCACAAAACTACATTTAGTGCTCGGTAAATCCACCACTGTTTAAAAATCTTAAATGCAGGGTTTCCTACATCTGTGGCGCTGATAGGATGTTTTGTGCAGGTGAGCACACATCGCAGACATCAACCTGAAGAGTTTACAAGACATTTACATTCTCTGTCAACTTGTTATTGTGGGATCCAGGTGGGTGCAGAGCGTGTAATCAAAGTATTAGTTTAATCTGGTTTATTTACACTAATCAGGTCATTGTGTGCCCTTTAGTTGGACTTGTCAAGCTTTACTTCCTCAGGATGTTGGGATCAAAATCTCTTTTATAAGACAGACCTGAGAACAAATTACACACACAAGCCAATAACATAGATGTGTCAGGAAACAATCTTCACAGGGAGACACTAATTAAAATCCCTGTTCAGTGTTGTGGTTATTAGCTTTGAATGTTATGTTTCTCTGTCATTTGGATCACATTGTCTTCTACATGGAAACCCAGATATGCCTGTGCCAGTCAGAACCTGAATCAGTGTCTACTCGTCTCTGACCTGGTCCATCAAAGGCATTGTTGGCCCCGTCGTTGTGGTCTCCCTCATAAAAGGCCAGCCGGATGTCTGCCGGTCCTTCAGGAACCTCCTGGAACACCAGGCCTGAGACATTGCTCCACAACTGGAAGGCAGCACGCGCCGCCAGCCGCACCACACCCAGAGACAGGTGCCGAGGCCAGTTCACTATCTGGTAGGTCAGGTGATGCTTGTACCACTTCTCAGCTGGAGGACGCCCACACAGAGAGAGAAAGAGATAGAGAGATGAGAAATGCACAATGGTATTCATCACACACTTGGAGCCACTAAGTGCAGAGAAGCTCGAATCAAGCAGAGGAAAAACCTTGTTCACTAATAAAAATCATTTATTGTAATATCCTGGCAAACAACACAAATGAAAACAATATTCCAATGGCCATTTTCATCTCTGCCAGAGTGAAACCTGTAAATAATAATAATGTAATAAATAAAACAAGTGTAAAATGTAAAGAAAACTGAAAGGGAAACTGTGGCATTGCTGACGAATAACCCCGTTCATCACTCACTTTATTTAAAAAAAAAAATGTTTTAAGTTATAATAATGAATCTGTAGATCCAAACCTGGATCATCATGTTATTTACACGTTTAGGTTTACATTTAAGAGAAACCTATTCGTCGAGTGGTTTGTTTATTTGTTCAGCTTACAAAAGCACAACTGTGGACAGGGGTCCGTGCAAAAAAAGGCAGCACTTAGTCACCATAATGAAAACCAAAAAGGTAAAACACAAATCCTTAGAAATTCAATTTAAAAAAAAAAATCTGATGATCTAGCTGAAGCCTGCCATCTGCCCGAGTGAGCAACACAAAGCTTTCAAATACAGAAAAACAAAAGACTAAAAATACATGCATTTAACATCCGCCTGTTACTGCTGACAATCTAAATATATCTGTGGGCACACAAACAAACCCACAAATGAATAAACTTAGTATAATATAATTGAATCGAGAATAGTTTTACCTTGTTTCCGCGGCTCGGTGATTAGAGGAGCTAACGACACACACCTGGCTTCACTAGCAATGACCACAAACTACAAATGACTATAAAGTCGAATCTAATCTCAATTGAGAGGATAAATCCGGGGATTTTCCTTTTCAATAAATCAGTGAGTGGCTCGGTTTGGTTACTGAGAACGCATTTAAACGCTTCAAACTATTTGTTTCCGTCTAGCTAATCTGTTTCCTCTGTCTTTATGGAACCCCATTTGAATTCCTGCTTTTTTGTTTTGGACATTTAGGTTGTCTGTACATTTGTTTAATATATGTATTTTATATGAGAAGAGCGATGACATCTCCACTGACTCTGTTTCTTACAGTAATGGCGGATCATGGGAACTTCAAACCGTTCCAAACATTAGCAGCAGCGCCATCTTCCAAAGCAAGAATCAATAGCAAAAGTTATACATGCGACATTTTAATCTAGTAACATGTTTTAAAACACATTTTACAAGCTGTAAAAGTCGTTAAAAGTATTAATTTGCCGAAAACCCCGCTGTTCCCTACAGAAAAAAATGGATCCGAATCAAATACTTGGAACAAGTGAAGCTACGCGGATCACGTGACCTGAGGCCTCTTTTTGACCCCTCAGTGTCCCACTGACCCCCAAAATGTAATTGTCCACCTCTGGTGCCACGCCTGCCAGTATTATGCTTGTCAGTATTAATGAATGAAAACTTAAAAACAATGACAAATGTTTACCTTAAATACTACTAACAGTTTTTCTGGTGCCTTATACTTGATATTGGTCAAATTAGTTTTCTTTTATACTATGCATGTGTGATGTCCAAATAATGTGCGATCACATTAGTTTGAATGTATATAATGGCATTAAGGGTAAATGTGCATTTTTCATGTAAACATCTTGTTTTCTCAAAACATGACATAACCCAGTGTTATGGATAGGACAATACAGGTTAGTAATATGGGTAAACTACAGTAAATGAACGGTTATCAGGCCAAGAAGGAAACCGAGCATTGGATGTTTATTTTACGGGTTGCAGGAGTAGTTTTTTTGAGTACTTATGGTGACTGCTACATACCGGCTCATTTCGCTTGCAAGCATGTTAATATTAGCTGGGTTATACTCTCAGTTCAGGTCACTCACCTCACCTGGTAGCGTTTCTTTGTAATTTGACCCTGGCTCCTTGTTCATGTTAAAAAGGAAATGTGTGAACTGTTAATTATGTTTCACGATTTGTTTATCTGGTACTGCTCTCAAGTTAAAAATGATACAAAAGTGCTTAGCAGAGACGAGATCCTGTGGTCCCCAAACCGGACTCCCTCCGGCCCCTGGCTGCGCCTAGAAATTCTGTCCATAAAAATAATGAACAGAACCGGTGACAAAGGGCAGCCCTGCCGGAGTCCAACATGCACTGGAAACAAGTCTGACTTACTGCCGGCGATGCGAACCAAGCTCCTGCTCCGGTCGTACAGGGACCGGATGGCCCTTAGCAAAGGGCCCTGGACCCCATACTCCCGGAGCACCCCCCACAGGGCGCTGCGAGGGACATGGTCGAATGCCTTCTCCAGATCCACGAAACACATGTGGACTGGTTGGGCAAACTCC